GGAAGGATTCAGCTTCCTTTCTTGAGCTTGCTCACTGCTTCCTGATGCAGTACTATGAGCTGTTTCTCCTCGGCCCCTCCACCAAGCCACTCTGCTTAGAATCAGCTAACTGTGGACTAAGACTTCTGCACATGGGTACTGTGTCTCAACAACAAAAACACAACTGAGTTGTATTACCATCATAGTGATGTAGCTTCAAGGGAGTAGGACACCCACAGGTGTTTTGGTCCATCAAAGTACTCTGCCCCCTCAGGACTGAGGAGTTGGGTGAAGGAGTGGCCCACAGGGGAAAAGCAAACTCTTGGAATACAGGTCGGTAGTGAAATTGTCACACTAACAAAACTTTATTTCAAGTCCAGTGAAGTCAAATGACCTTTCTCCAAGTGTAGGTTTGTGGGTGTGCAGATTTTAACATGGAGATGTTGATAAAAGGAATATCCCAGCTGAGTAATCCAGTGTTGGCCATCACCTCACCTCCAAGAGATCACAGGAAGACTAAGCAGTCATTTCTATTCTCTTGGCCTATTCAGGCTATAATAACAAAATACCATAAAGAGAGTAGCTTTAAACAACAGAGATTTATTTCTCAACTTGTGATTTGAGATGTCCAAGACCAAGGCACCAGCAGGTTCCGTGTCTGGTGAGGGCCTGTATTCTCATTCATAGGTGATGGGGGGTGGGAGAGGTATCTCTGGGGTCTCTTTCAGAAGGACTCTCATCTGTAAGATCTCATGACCTAATCACCCCCCAAAGATCCCACTCCCCAGATACCTTCAAAGTCAGGGATTAAGTTTCCACAAATGAAATGGGGGGAAAGAACATGCAAGCACTGCCTGCAACACCTCCTCACCATCCCTGTGCATTCACAGCAGTTGCTTCTCACCACTGATTTCATGGAGCTTCCTAAGTGCATCCTTTCTGGTTTCCAGTGGCCAACAGAGCCCATGAGTCAGATGCATGACATTTGTTCACAGGAGTCTAGAGACTTGTTCTTTGAAATAAATTTGCTCGTAGGGAGGAAATCAACAAGGAAATCTGCGTTGGCATGTGTCTTTCCCAAATATCTAGGTCTATCTGACTCCCATTGATTCCTTGGAGTGAACTCCCCACCATCATGACCTTTCACTTTATCACCTCATCTGCCCTGAAAGCCAAGAGCCATTAGGCTCCAGCAGAAGGAAAAATAAGCCAGAAGTAGGAGGAAGCCCTGAATTTTTGGACTGACTTGTCTTATTCTCTGCAATGGGCTCCACCTCATGATGAACTTTGCCAACATTTGGAAGGTCTCCTATTTCTTTCTCATAATTTCAACCAGGCAATGGTGTTGAAGGTGTCTTTTGTGCATATTTGAGCCCTCTGCACACAGCACAGAGGAGCAAAACTTTGTTCCTTCAGCATCTAAGTATTTATTTTCCAAGTTTTTAAAGAGCACCCAGTGATTTGGGGCCAGTGGGAAGCAGTGCAGTGTTGCTGCCCAAGTCTCAATGGACCCACTAAAGCTGCAGGGTCACAACTCATCTTTAGGCACAGGGTCTCTCATCTCCAAGTTGGTCTGTGTGTGTTTTGGTTACAAGAGACAGGCTTTCTTACCTCTCTTCTAAGTCACTTTCTTAGTATCCTGCTTTCTCTCTGTCATGAGTGAATCTATCCTGGATTCTCTGGTCTTGACCATCCAGGTTGGACATGTGCCCACTGACTCTGTTTCTTAGTATTTCCTACAGAAAGAATCTCTTTGCTCACATACTGAGCCACACAATGGCTGGTCTGTCTATGAGACTGTGGCTCCTTGGCAGAGTCTTTCTGTTTAGTTGGTGTGGCCCAGGAGTGGAGGTAGGGCAGAACAGGCAACACACAGCCTCAAGACTGCTGGGAAGTGCACACAGTGGGATGAGTAGGTGATCTGGGGAGCTTGTGTCACAGACCATTGCAATGTCTGGATCCCTTGGTAGCAATGGGACTTTTTAATGCTCTGAGGAAACTTGAATGGACTTGGGCTTTTTTTTTTTTTTTTTGGTCTGGGGCCCCAACTGCTTATGAATGGCCAAAGGTAAGCTTTAATTTTCATTTTTTCTGGTGCATAAATTCATGCTCCAAGGTAGGATGGCTTCTAGGACCACACTGGGTCTACCAGGCCTGCTACAGTTCTTTTTTTTTATTATTATTATTTATTTGTGTGTGTGTGGCCAGCTCAGCCCACCAGGGGGCGGGGCTGGCTGGCATGTGGTGCTGGGGGATTGAACCGAGGTCCCAGCGCTTTGCTAAGCTTGTTCTAAGTAGGTGCTTTAGACCACTGAGCCATCTCACCAGCCCCCTGCTAGAGTTCTTAAGCAATGCTCAGCATGCACTGCAGTGTGGCCAGATTGTGACTCCGTCTCACCGTCTCATCATCTGGAGTTGGAATGAGAAGCAGGCAGGTTGTGTGATATGAAAGCCTTTGTCATTTTATTTTACAATAAAAAATCCTAACAGCACATGAACACTCTGTTCCCGGCAGAGGCAAAGGATGTACAAAGTTAATTAGAAAGAAAAGCATTAAAATAACAACAGCTACATTCAAAGCTTCTGCTCAGTACTTTGCCCAATGTGTCTAATGTGGTTTCAAAGAATCGCTGGTCTGGATTTTTCACCCAGAGTGAAAGCACAGGTACAAGTACTTACACACGCTCCAAATCATAGATGACAACCACAGTAACAGCAACTTCCAGGTGGGGCTGGCTTTTGCGGGCAATTCTAAACTTAGGAATTTATTTGTCCTCCATAAGAAGTTGTGTCAGAAATATGTGATGATACACTTTAATCCAGTGGGTAGGTGGAGCTAAAACATTTTGCTAGATAAAGCTCAATTGCGGAAGTAATGATTTAGTAAGAATTCTTTCAAATATACTTTTCAAGCCATTTTCAGATATCGTATGCCATGTGCTCCTCCTAACCACTAGGGGGAACTAGGACATACAGACGCTGTTATACCCATTTGACGGGTGAGGAATTAGCGACTAGTTTTAAATGAGGTGCTCGAAGTCTAGAGTATCTGTTCAAAATTTCCAGTTTACAGGTATTTCTCTGGTTCTGTTTGGTACAATTTTTTTTCTCCATTCAATTTTTATGTGGGCAAAGATGAGTTTAGACATAAGGAGGAGACAAGGGGATGGCAAGACCACAATTAACTTAAGTAGAATACATTTATGGGCTCCCTCTATAATTTACAGAAGTCCAACCAAGGTCAGAGAATGAAAATTATTAATTTCTAAATTTCATTATTATAATTTCATTATATATGAGTTTGACCTTTGGAAATAAATTCCTGCCTTATCAAAATTTTCCTTATTTGTGTAACCTTCAGAATCAAAGCAATTCTGTGCCTTCTAAGAGAATTTGTTTCTGACACAATTATATTTCCTAAATATTACTTTTCAGAAATTCCCTACACTTTAGCTTTTGCCACCAGCTAGCATCCTGTTAACAGTTCACCTAAGAAATCAAAGAGACCTTTCAGTTCTCAGATACTAACTTCTTATATTCAGAAGGTCAGAGCCGCTATAATGTCAGTTTCACTGGAAACCAATTTTGTTTGAAAAGACTCTATCAAGAGGCTCATTGGTTTTCTCATCCATGCAAGTGTGTGGCCATGAGCCACATTAATAGCACCTGAGCTAAGATCATGCAATTCAATTTACAAGTATTTATTGTCTGCTGAGCAGGACATGCTGCTAGCTGGGCCATGGTTAGAAATCCTTCCTTAGGCTCAGCAGCAGCATTGGATAACTGGTGTTGGGGCGGGAAGTGGCTGGGGCAGTTCTGGCCAGTCTTCCAGGGTTCAAGTGCATGCATTCCCACCTGATGCACAGTGAGGGATGCCCTTTCCTCTCTGTGGCAGTATTGATAGGTATTGCCCTCTGATACTGGCTGCTGGATGGCAGGAGTACTGGTCAAGGCCAGTCTGCAGCAGGTTCCTTTTCAAGATCCTATCCAGTTGCATGACTTCCTCTAGGTACCAGCCCCCAACAGAAGTCCCTGCTGAAAAGGTCACTGCAGGGGGCCATGCTGGCATCAGCCAACTCTGCCTCCTTGGTTACATCTGATTGGCTAGGCACCTGACTCAATGTCCAGAGGCCAGATGAGCTGGACCAATCAGATTCTTAGCAATTTGCCTATGGTAGTACAGAGATGCTAGTCAGAGAGTGCTAGGAGCTGAGGAGGAAAGGTTGGGTGGAGTAGGTCCTGGGGTGGAACTACTGGCTAATGAGAAAGCTTGTTGGTTAAGGGTAGCAAGAGATATGAGCTGATATTCAGAGAGAGAAACAGAGATGAAAAAGGACAGAGGAGAGAGAGAGAGAGAGAGAGAGAGAGAGAGAGAGAGAGAGAGAGAGAGAGAGA